CTCTTAAATGTGAAGGGCTGTTTAAGAGAATTTTGCTTTCATTTCCCAGCAGGCACACAACATCATAAGACATTACTACTAGGTTAGATTTAGGTTGTGACGTCAGATGACCAAAATTCAATGTTTAGCCAATGTCTAAGGATAATGTTATTTTGAAGTTCATTGACGGTTGATTTTAGGTTGTGTTGGAAAGTGATCAAAATTCAATGTCGAGTCAACATCTTAAACCAACATCAAATACAGATAGTTATTCATCAGGTATGGCAACTAAAATCTAACATCTGATAGACGTCATAGTGGTAACGTCCACACAACATCAAGCTAGAACATCATTAGACGTTGTTATTTGGTTGATTTTAGGTTAGACGTTGACGTCGACCTGACGTTGGCATGATGTCAACCCGATTTTCATTTCCAAAAAAATGCAACATCAACGTCAATCCCAACATCAATTCCACATGATGTACAACGTCAATATGACGTTATGTTGATGTCCTGTGCCTGCTGAGTCTATTTAGGCAATTAGAGAGGCGGGGAGGGAGGTTGTCCCTTCCCTAGTAGCAAAGAATTCTGGCCCAGATTTGGCATTAAGCTGGCACAGCAGGCATTCATCCGGCACTGGCATACAGCATGTGGGCCAACCATGGCCCGGGTTTGGCAGAGGTGGCACCGTCTATAATGCGGCACACAAGATTTGGGCCAGATGTAAAACGTAGTATTTGGCCCAGATTTAAAAAATTGATTGTGGGCCACGTGAGTTTGGCCAGTCTTGACCCACATTTAAAATACATTAAAATAATTTTTGATTAAATAAATCAATTCTACCAATCAGGTCACTGAGAAAAAACAAGGCCCATAGTGTGCCTAAAGCGCAATGCTTCATGGGTTTATCAATTTCATTGCAATCGTGACACACCAACCTTACTGGCCCAGTTCAGGCCCAGTTATGAGTTATTAACTTGGCTGAGACTTGGCCCAGATATGGTCTGTGTTTGGCCCTTGTCTAGAAGCCAGATTTGGTCCAGTCATGTACCGTAATTCACTGCGGCATGTGGGCCAAGCAAAACCTGATTGTGTGGGCCAGAGCTGGGCCAGAGAAATTTTGCTATGTGGGTTATTTTCACATCCCAATGTTCACTGGTATGGCTTGAAACTATACTCTCATTTTGGCATAATATTCATTCATTTTCGTTCAGCTTAGTTCCTTCATTTATAAGGGTTCGCCACAGCGGAAGGAATCGCCAACTATTCCGGCATATTTTTTGCACAGCGGATGCCCTTCCAGCTGCTACCCAGTACTATGAAACACCTATAAACACTCGTTCACACCCATACACTACGGCTAATTTAGTTTATTTAATTCACCTATAGTGCATGTCTTTAGACTGTAGGGAAAATCGGAGCACCTGGAGGAAACCCATGCCAACATGGGAAGAACATGCAAACTCCACACAGAAATGCACACTGGCCCAGTCGGGACTCGAACCAGTGACCTTCTTGCTGTTAGGCGATAGTGCTAACCACTGAGCCACCATGCCGCTATCAAATAAATAAATATTTATTCTTAGTGTGTCTGATTCCAGCGACGCTCCAGGGACAGACGAGTCTTCGCTGAGGCAATCTTCCAGCCTCCACCACGGTGACTGAAGCTCTGCACAAGACTTTTGGCCAGCGGAGAAATTAAAATGGTCGTGCCCAACTGAGTCTGGTTCTCTCAAGGTTTTTTTTCTTCACTCCCATCAGGTGAAGTTTTTTTTCCCTCTCCGCTGTCGCCACTGGCTCGCATGGTTCAGGATTGGAAGAGCTACGCATCGATGAATTTGCTCTTCAGTGTTTGATTAAATCACACTGAACAGAGCTAAACTGAACTGAACTGAACTTAAACACTAAAAACTGAACTACACTGTTCCAGTTACTATGACCATTTATGTGAAGCTGCTTTGACACAATCTATATTGTAAAAGCACTATACAAATAAAGCTGAATTTAATTGAATTGAATTAGTACACAATGAAAATACAGAAGATTCACGCTTTAAATATTAAAATATCTAAACCTTTGGTCATTTTTGATTTAAAAATCTATGCTAAGCTAAACTAAGCTATGCTAAAAGTGCTCTTGTCAGACCCAAAGACCAACTGAATGGATAAAAAAATGGTAAAGCTCAATTGTAGGGTAGTTGTAAAACGAGCCTATTTCCCAAAAGTAGAGTGCTCCTTAAGGTCTTCTGAATGGTTCTCATTAAATCTTTAGACCCAGAAGATAAAATGAGAACACACCGGAAAAACAGTCTTATTGAAACCTCACTCTTTCAAACTGTGTTATGTAATCGTGTCTCGATCCATATGAAAGCGGAGCAGAAAGATTTAGCTGCTTAGCTAAGAGCGAAACCCTGAAACTCTCACTGTAATCTTATCATCCTTGTATCAACACTTGCTGATGTGGAGTACGGTTACAGTGTGTTAGACCAGGCTTTCACAAAGTGTGATGTGTGAGTTTATGAAAAGCTAATACATGAATGTAAAATCAAAGTAAAACAATTAAAATGAATCTGAGGGGCAGCATAGTGGCGCAGTGGGTAGCACGATCGCCTCACATCAAGAAGGTCACTGGTTCGAGCCTCGGCTAAGTCATTTGGCGTTTCTGAGTGGAGTTTGCATGTTCTCCCCGTGTTTGTATGGGTTTCCAATGGGTGCTCCAGTTTCCTCCACAGTCCAAAGACATCCGCTATAGGTGAATTGGATAAACTAAAGTGGCCGTAGTGTATTTGTGTGAATGCAAGTGTGTATGGGTGTTTTCCAGAGTTAGGTTGCAGCTGGAAGGGCATCCGCTGCTGAAATGCCATCTGACCCAGCCGGGACTGAAACCAGCGATCTTCTTGCTGTAAGGCAACAGTGCTAACCACTGAGGTTTTAATTTATTTACAATTTGTAAAAATAAATAAAAACATTCATCAAAAATAATCGAGTGGTCTTTTTGGTTTGTCTTCCCACAGGATACTGGTAAGAAATGCTTTAACGCAAACAGAAAGGTTTTAAAAGTTATGTTAATGTCAATTTTAAAGAGAGATTAAGTTATGTACGAAATGAATACATTTTCAAATAAATGAGTTTGCATTTCTGTCAGGCATAAGATAATTTACCTAGACATACAGTACAGTACAATGCATGTATTTATGGGAATCAATACATATTTAGGACCTCTGATCCTCTCAATGATTGATCCACATTTGCTCCAGCTAATCTACAACTCGCACATCTATTATGGTTTATAGCGGTCCCTCAATCTACACACCAAAGATGAATTACTGCAGTGCTGTTTATGATCCCACTATAAAAGACTGGATTTTAGGCATATAGCATACAGTATATACAGCTGAAGTCACAATTATTAGCCCCCCTTTGATTTTTGTTTTATTTATTCTTTTTTAAATATTTCCCACATGATGTTAAACGGAGCAAGGATATTTTCACAGATAGTATTTTTTCTTCTGGAGAAAGTCTTATTTGTTTTATTTCCCCTAGGATAAAAGCAGTTTTACATTTTTTTAAACATTTTAAGGTCAAAATTATTAGCCCCTTTAAGCTGTATCTTTAAAGCATTTAAATGTCACTTTAAGCTGTATAGAAGTGTCTTGAAAAATATCTAGTCAAATATTATTTACTGTCAACATGGCAAAGATGAAATAAATCAGTTATTAGAGTTGAGTTATTAAAACTATTATGTTTAGAAATGTGTTGAAAAAAAATCTTCTCTCAATTAAACAGAAATAGGGAAAAAAATAAACAAGGGGGCTAAAAAAATCACAAAACTCTCTGGATCGCTGCTTTTACTTTGATGCGTGTTTGAGGAAAACAATCAGAATTCATGAATTTATCTAAATAAAAATAGACATGACTGTTTTTTCTTGTCCAGAGTCACATTTTTTGTTTTATTCTGTACATGACGGATTACAGATCATCAATTGTTTAAATTAAAGAGTTGTATGTATAAAGATATTTTTAAAATAACAATGATGTGCTACTTCCACACATGTTAATCCTCATTTTAAAAGTTATGAGTTTAAGATTTTAGGTGATTTTTAATTACAACAAATAAAAGATTAGTTATACTGATCATTGTAATAATCAGAAAAACAGAAAGCTCCAAAATGACAGTATTTTTATTCTTTTTTTTTTTAGAAATATTGGGAAATCTTTATAAATTAAAACAAATATAAACATTTTGCTCAAACCTATACCTAATAAATCATGAAAAAGGTTTTAAGGATTCACACTAGCTGATGATTGATACTAAAGCTTGTTTGGCATGCTGTCCCTGGAGAGGGCCCTGAGCTCATAAGATACTCAAGCCCGGGGCTCCCTCCCATTTGCAAGGCGAGAAGGGAGTTTGAGCTCAGGTAGGTCTTGAGAACTCCTCTGCTGTAGTAGCTAATAAACAGATAGTGATTGCCCTTAAGAGATAACTTCTTACTAGGAGCATGTCTATGGTGCTGATTTGGATTAGTCAATTAACTTAAGTTGCATGTTTTTGGATGGTGGTAGGAAACCGGGGAACCCACGTGAGCATATGGAGAACATGTAAACTCTGCGCGGAAATGTCGGCTGGCTTGGTAAGGATTAGATCCAGTGACGTTCATGCTGTGAGGCAACAGTGTTAACCACTGAGTCACCATGTCACCCATCTAGGAAAGGAGGAGGAGTAGAAGTGGAAGGGGGATTCTTCAAAACAAAGATGGCTGTTATATGAAACTTAGGGTATTTATAGAGCCTTAGGAATCGTCTGATTGGTGAATCATGAATTGAATAATGCGGGACCAGCTGTGATCAATCATAAGTATGTGATCATCTCTAAAATAGTTTATGAATAAACTTCACTTAATTCAATTTTTATTTCAACACTAAACTTTTGAACAACACTTATAGCACTGGTGTGTTTCCGTGAACAAACCTAAATACAGCATCACAAAAATATCTCAGACCTCAATGCTACAACTGACCAATCAGGATTGAGTATTAAAGCATTCTTACCTTGAGTTGCACCAGATGCACATCCACATGTCTATTGCTGCTGTCCTGCTGCACAGAGTGTGTGAGATCTCGGACCCTCTCCGTGGTGGTCCTCAGCCAGGTCTCGATCTCCGGCAGATGGAGAACCACCTTCCAGTCGGCCCCAGTGTGGAGAGGCGGAGGTTTCTGGAACCTGCGGTAGGGATCTTGTTTCTGGGTCGACCCATCAGCGCTAACGCTGGGTTCACACACGTCTGGATCATCATGTTTATCAGGGCCCGGTTCCAGGGTTGGGGTCACTGCAGTTATCATAGGGGACGAAGCCTCACTGGCATTTGGTGATATGACAACGTTCATGGTGAAATGTAATAGGATCCTGAGGATGGGGACTTTTGGTTTATCTGTTTAGAAAAAAGAAACAAAAAAATGAGAATGGGATTAAAAAACAAACAAGGGTAACACTTTAGTTTAAGAAACAATACACACACTGTAAAAAAAATGCTTGGTTCCACACAATCAATTAGTGTGTAAGGTGAAGTGAGGCTATGAAGTTGAGGATCCAAACACAGGTTGATTAAATGAATAATCAGGCAAGCAACAGTCAACACCGCAGCAAACGTAGACGGGCAATCTAGAGTCGTAGTCAAATAAACAGGCAGATGGTCAAAAGGCAGGCAGTAGACAGGAATAAACAAACAAAACAAGGCGAGGGTCAAAAACACGGCAGGACAAGGCAAGGGAAAACCCGTCGCAATGTTCACCATACAGTTTACAAGACTCAGCAGCTTGTGTGTGTTTGTGTACTGACTTTATACTCCATGTAATCAGTTCACGAGTAGCTTCAGCTGTGTCTGTCTGCAATCATGGGGATCTGGGCCAGGTGTGTGAGTGGTGCATGACTGGATCTTGTAGTCCATTTAATGGCGGATTTGTAGTTCTATGCAATGTGAATGTTCTCCAGCGATCTATGATGGTTAGATCACTTGTGATCCTGAAATTGTGTTGGGGCAACATGAAGGAATCAATTTAACTTGTTAGTTTTTACAAATTAAAGTAAATGGAACATAAAGAAATTAAGTTGTCCCCAAAATAACCAAGAATCAAGAATCAAGAATTGTGTTGTTTCAGCTCATTATGAATAAGTTGAGTTGAGTTGGCTTTATTGAAACCCGTAGGTCGATTCTTTTTGCAGCAAAGTTCGGCATTTGATACAAACAATTAAATCACACATTTACATACCCACATATACACATACAAAAGTACCTTATAAAAGATTACAATTTATTCAGAATGACAATAGATGATGGGACAAAGCTATTCCTGTAACTTTTTGTCCTACTAAAAAGCATCCGATACCTTTGACCCCAGGGGATAGTCTTCCTACTATACAGGGAATTAATACGCAGCTGTGATTCACCAATCAACCTGCTTGACCACCTAACAACTTGGCTCAGTCTATTCCTGTTTTTAAGGGACAGACTTTCAAACCATTCCGCCAGAGCATGTAGTAGTGTAAGTAGTTTGAAAAAACAGCAAATGCTGTATTTTGAGTGCACTAGGGTTGCATGATATTGGAAAAATTGGACATTACGATATTTAGTTTTCCTGGATATATATATATTGCAATAGGGCGTCACGGTGGCTCAAGGGTTAGCACTGTCACCTCACAGCAAGAAGGTTTCTAGTTCGAGTCCCAGCTGGGCCAGTTGGCATTTCTGTGTGGAGTTTGCATGTTCTCCCAGTGTGGAGAACATCTCCCACAGAAAAATGTATATTTGGAGAATAATATGGAGAATAATACTGCAAATCTCATATTTCACTCTGCTATTTTTGCTTCTGCATATGGCATAACAATATTTGGCTCTCATTAGAACACCTCAATACAGTGTTAATACATATACAATACAGTACAGTCAAGCCTCAAATTGTTCATGCTGGCAAATTCTGACTTACAGTTTTTGTTCAAATCCAAATAAAAGCTGAGAAATCATTTTCCACTATAATAATGTACATTTCTTTTACATCGTCTAATTATCTTTTGGGAGAAGCCTGTGTCATTGCTTGTCAAAAACTAAAAAAAAAAAAAAAAAAATATATATATATATATATATATATATATATATATATATATATATATATATATATATATTTACAAACATACATACATACAGTTGAAGTTAAAATTATTAGCCCCCTTGTGTGTTTTTTCCCCAATTTCTGTTTAATGGAGAGTTAAGGTTTTTTTTTTCAACACATTTCTAAACAATAGTCTTAATAACTCATTTCTAATAACTTTTTTTAATTTAATCTTTGCCATGATGACAGTAAATAATATTTGACTACATATTTTTTTTCAAGACACTCAACTAGGTTAATTAGGTTAACTAGGCAGGTTAGGGTAATTAGGCAAGTTATTGTATAATGATGGTTTGTTCTGTAGACTATCGGAAAAAAAGGGGCTAATAATTTTGTCCTTAACATGGATTTTTTTTAAAGATTAAAAGCTGCTTTTATTCTAGCCTAAATAAAACAAATAAGACTTTCTCCAGAAGAAAAAATATTATCAGACATACTGTGAAAATTTCCTTGCCCTGTTGTTTCCCATCATTTGGGAAATATTAAAAAAAGAGAGAGTGAGAAAAAATCTAAGTGGGCTAATAATTCAGACTTTAACTGTATAATCCATAATCTTTTGAAACTCAATTATTTAAAAGGATAGTTCTCCTAAAACTGAAAATACTGTCATCATTTACTTTACTCACCTTTTACTGGTTCCAAACATGTTTGATTTTCTTTTTTTTTTTCTTTTTTTTTTTGAACATGAAAGAAAATACTTAGAAAAAAAGCTGAAAACCTGTAACCATTCACTTCCATAGTATTTGTTTTAAAAATCAATGGTTATAGATTTTCAGCTCTCTTCAGAACACCTACTTTAGTGTTCAGCAGAATGAAGAAAAATAAAGATTTGGAATCAGTTGAAAGTGAATAAATAGTGAGTTGATTTGCATTTTGGTGAACTACCCCTTTAAATTTGACAAAAGTAAATGCCACTGTTGTCTGCTTGTGCTCAAGCGACTGCCACAATGCTACTGTAACTCACCACTTATGCAGTTACAGCATTAACAACTGTATCATGAACTAATGATTAATGAACGATGAGGTCATTTCTAAAATCATACGCAGCATCATTACATCAGCAGTTGAGGTCATTTCCACCCTGCGCAAATAAATCAGTGACTCTAACGGAGGATGATTCTGAACCGGAACAATAGCGAGTCATTATTAGCCAGCATTACTGAATATCTAGGCCACTGCTACAGGAAAAAAAACAGCAATTGGAAATCAATATCCCGAACAATGCATTTTGTGCATCTGACTAATCTGCTGCTTCAGCATTGAGCCATGGCGACCCACCAACAAATGCGATGAATAATTCAGCTAATATGACTTGCTGGCATTTACAGCTCATCTGCATGCACTATTTGTGAAAGCGCGGATGAAGCTGTCCAAACCGATTCATTAGTTGGTATTCAACATGAAAGGGCAGCGAGAATCATTTTCAGATGTGTTTGCAAACAGCATGACTTACAACGACACACGTCTGTGTCAGGGGAACGCACAGACAACCGGGTTTTACAGCTGATTAGCATATTGAGCAGATGCATAATTTAGGCAAAACATGACAGACGGGGAAGCTCTTGCGTTGATCTGAGACAAATCTCATTGCAAACAGTGTTCGGATCATCCTCTATGTGTTTTCTTGTTTAGCCGTTAACAAGTTTTGTATGAAAACCAACATGCGTTTCAGAGGCTTGTTAGGTGCGAAGGGTTTCGGGTGACTTTGAAGTGACACTCATGCAGTACAGCTTGCATCACGCTCATTTCATCACCTAGAAAGGGAGTACATGATGATGATACAGAGCAATATCCAGCACTTTAAATAAATGCTGAGCTCATGTGGTCCCAGCACAAATTGATTAAATTAATTGCTTTACAAATTTAAGTGGATTGAAAATAAAACAATTAAGTTGTCCACACAAAAAAAAACCTCAAGAATTGTGTTGATTCAGCTCATTTTAAATCGTAACAATAAGCAAAGGTTTTTGAGTGAGCATTTGTCACGGGTGATTGCAAGAAAACAGACCCAGTTGTAGCAATGAACTATTCAAAGGGATTTGTTGACAGAATAAGGCACAAGTAGACACACAAGAGGATGATAAGGTGCAAACGGTAGGGGCAACAACACAGGGAAGCCAGTGGTAGTGACAAGATGGTACTAAAATGAACAGCCAGCCAGGAGTAGGAGCAACAGTGGTCAAAACCAGAGCTAGATCCTGGAGCAGGCCATGTAAACTCCAGATTGGCAGACCAGGGAGGTCAGGACACGGGATAGGACTGGAAAATTATAAGACAGGACAGCACACAGGCAGCAATATTATACAATAAAATAATAAAACTATATCTGAAATGAAATATTAGGATAGAGAAAGACAGACTTGAGCAATCTGATAAAACAAAACTGAAATAAAGACTTCTAGAATCTTAAAGAGAGTACTTAAACAAATCAAACAACTAATAATCAACTACTAAGAAGACTGGGACTGACAGAAAAATGGAACAATGGTTCTAAGGGTAAAAGTAAAATAAAGATTAGAACACAAAATTAAGTAAACACTAGAAACAAACAAAAGAAAGTAGTAGCTACAAACAAACACTAAGTAGACAAGTGAACTAGAACAGACAAGACCAAAAGACAACAAAAAAAAAAACCAGACTACACTTTAAAAAATGCTGGGTTCAACACAATCGATTTGTGTTGGGACAACAGGAATGAACTTATAGTCATCAAGTAGACAGATTATACAGACTTTATATGTGTACTCATTCATTTCTGTTTAGTTGATGACTGGTCTAGTTTTGGCCTATTTTTTAGATGTCTAATGACAGGCCAAATTTTGCCTTGTTTCAGCTAAGACGACTATGTTTAGTAGTGGTGTAACGGATCACAAATCCCACGGTTCGGATCACACTACGGTTTTTTAGTCACGGATCGGACCATTTTTCAGATCAGCAAAAAAGGGAGGAGACAAATGTAATTTGCTTTCCATTTAATCAAACAATATCACTGCAAAAAAAAAACATTGGTTTTACATACAGAACTTAGAACCTGTAATTTTAATAAAAATAAAAATCAAGATAGAGTCAGCTGAAAAAAGGAAAATATTCAGTACGAAAAATAATCTTTGCTACGGTTGCTGATAATACTAAATATAGAAATCTAACATCTTGTACAGGATAACATATAATTACTTTCAATTAATGATTCAACAATTCACACATAAAACTTCATGTTTCATTATAGGTGGATCAGTTTTGAAAACCTTTTCAGTGACTGTAATTT